TATTTTGTTTATCAGGTTGTTAAGCATTGACTGATGTCATTTGGTTGATAGGCATCGACCGACGGCTCGGGACACAACTCGCAGGCACAATTAAAAATAATTTATAATAAACAAAGGCTGATTAGCTCGTTTTGCTCACTACACTAAAAGAGGAAGAAACATTCTTTTTTAGAAAGAATGTTGTGTTGTTTTTGACACTTTAAAGTCCTTTTTAAATAATATCAAGCAATTTTTTTCTAAACTACTTTCTGTTCTTTGATAAAAATTTTAAAAGAATACAAAATAAATGAAGTTTACAGTAGAAGCAGCTTTTAAAAAAGTCAAAAGTAAATATCTTATAACTAGTTTTTAATGTCATTTTTTTCTCGCCGACCACTTACCTCGCTCAGCCAGCGGAATTTCACTTTTGATAGGCTGCCAAAGGTGAAACAGACCTTTTTCTGCGTGCACAGCACCTCATAGTACGCCAATAGCTTTAGTTTGGTGCGCAGAACGACCGTGTCAGTGCCTGCTGCAGTGTTTCCGCTTCTTCCTGCGCACGTTTTCATTTGCACAGTGTACAGTTGTTGGTCGGCGCTGTCGTACAGCGCCCAAACCACAGTGGCCAAAAAAACAAGCAAAAAAAAGAGCTCATCATGCCTAGGAAGACCCCCAGCATGTAAACCTTTTCCAGAACGCTCCAACTTTTGAAGCAGATCAAGCAGAGGAGGTAGACGCTAAAGACGAGCACCGCCTGGTAGTTGGCAAAAAGGAGAGGCGAGATAAAACGTCCATTAAGGGCTACCAAATCAACGAGGAGGCGGGCGTGCTGCCGACAGAAGCCGTTTACCCAAATAGCGCTAATGGCCGCCATGGCGGGACGTTTCAGTGAAATAAAAAATATCTTTTTCTGCTGCTGCTGCTGAAAATGCCGAAGAAAGTGATTTTGACTTGTCCCGTGCTCAGCCGTCTTCATTTGATAAACCGCCGTTTTTAACACCTCTCGAGCGTGCAGACTCCAGGCAGTGGCTACTAGGACAATGATCTTATAAAAAAAGCAGCGCCCTGTTAAAAGCGTACTGAAAAATGGCCAGCACAACGGCCAGATCGCCGATCAGCTGCACCGGAGACAGCACCGCTGGGGGTGATGGAAAAAAGTGCTCTTGAAAAGCCGCTCAAGAAGTCGGGGTAGTGTTGAAGCATAATGGCTAGCAAACTGAGCACCATGCTGGGCAGCAGGAGCAGTGACTCTAACAGGAACGTCAGAAACAGTAACAACTCAGAGAGGTGGTCCAGCACTGCCAGTCGACAGCGGGTACGCCGCGAGAAAGCGCCAAAGTAACTCAACTGAGGCGGTGGTGGTATTTGCGGTCGCTGTCAATCAGTGCTGTGGAGAAAGCGCCCCAAAAGGGGAAATTCTTCAGAAAGCCAGCCTATGATCTCTTGCGCCACACGAAGCAGGTCACAGCTCCAAACGGTGCTAGAATGGGGTGATAAAGTGGAAGTGACTGCTGCGTTAGGGCGGCTGTTGTTACTGCTGTACACTCGTTGATTTAACGGCTTGGCGCCTGCAAAAAAATTTAGTGAGCAATCACAAACTTTATCATTTTTTTAAAAGCAGTTTTTTCCTTTTCTCACCAGTACTTCTCAGAAGGTCAGTGAGCATGGGGGCCACTGTTCGGTGTGGGTGCACCGCTAAGAAGTAGTCAAAAATGACCGTCAGCAGGTTGTAGGGGGCCAGCGCCAAACCAAGTAGGTGGTGGGAAACCAGTCGGTCCAGCAGGAACATCGACAAATCGTACTGATTGTACGCGCCGCGGAAGAAGGAGTTCAAACACAGGCGGACTGTTAGCAGCAGCAGGTAGGCGTAGTATGCCAGACGAAGGGGTCGCTTTAGTTGGGCGCCAAGCGGCTGACCGACACTTTTGGCGTACTTCTGGGCAAACGCCAACGAGGAGGGACTGTAGATGAGAAGCATTTTCAGAGCCTCTTCAAAGGTGGGAGCAGTGCTAAACAGCATTACAAAGTTTACAAAATTTTATATTTTAAGTCAAAAAATACTTGCTTTTTTTCACTGTTTTTCATGGCAGCCATCTGATATTTTTTAAAGAATTCGGTTTTTAAAATTTAAAGTTTAGTTAAAATTTTACCAAATTTTACATTAGCAGCAAATAAGGCAAAACTTTTAAAAAAGTTGTGCTAATTGTATTTTAAAAGTTTAAGTTGTGGTTTTAAAAAGAAACGTCAACAATTTTTTTTTGTTTTTGTTTTTTAAAACATTTTAATGAGAAAATACTTGACAATGTAAGATAAATTGCAAAAAATTGCATAACACGCCAAACATATTTTATTTAAAAAATGTTTTTATTGTCAAGTTTAGTATTGTTAGAAAAGTAAAATTAAATTAAATAAATTTTGTTTTTTATCCAGCGTTTCCGGTTCCGGTTAAAAAAATAATTTGTACAAAAAATCATAATAAAAACTTGATAAGATTTGAAAAAAGTTTATTTAGTAAAATTAACAAAAAATGCTTTTGTTTTCACAAAGGGGGACTGAGCGCAACATAAAATATTTTTGAATAGCTTTTTTGTCAAGATTTTTTGAACACAACGATAACCAAGTCGGTATGACCAGAAACTCACATAAAATAATTATTTCATTTTTCTTACTTGTTAAAAATATTTTTAAAAATCACAAATTTCTAATTCAGCACATTTTTTATCTTGAATGAAAAAATCAGTAAAAAACAATGACCATTTAAAATTAATATGGTTTCAATGATACCGAAGCTCCAAAAAGAAATAAAAAAATGCGCGGTGTCTCTTCTTAATATGTGTTTTGTGATTTTAGTCAGGTTTTGGTGATGATTCAAAAAAATTTTAAAAGAAAACTTTTCTAATTGAAACAGCACCANGTGTTTTGTGATTTTAGTCAGGTTTTGGTGATGATTCAAAAAAAATTTTAAAAGAAAACTTTTCTAATTGAAACAGCACCAGCAGTTTATCAGCAGCTCAAAAACAATGCAAAAATATTATTAACAAATTACCACCATTTTCTATTTAATTATTCTCTTTCAATCCTAGCTTTTTACAAGTAATCTCCCGCATGACAAACTTCTTCGCTTTGCCGACACTGGTCACCGGAAATGCGTCCACAAAAAGAAAGTACCTCGGCACTTTGAAGTAGGTCAACTGTTAGAGATTACAAAAAAGTTAGCATCAAGTTTAAACACAATTTATGAAAACAACATCAAACTTACATTATCTTTGCAAAACTTCTTCAGCTCCTCCTCGGTCACTTCCTTCTTATCACCATCACCACCGCCGTTCTTCAACTTCACCCAGGCGCAAATCTCCTCACCCTTTCGCGGATCAGGCACTCCAATGACGTGCGCATCGAGTATCGCCGGATGAGTGTGCAGCAGCTCCTCAATCTCCCTCGGGTAAACGTTCTCCCCACCTACAATGATCAGCTCCTTTGTTCGGCCGATGATCTTCAAGAAGCCCTCCTCGTCCATGACGCCCAGGTCACCGGTGTTGTACCATCCGGCGTGGTCAATCGCCTCAGCCGTCTTCACCGGGTCCTTCCAATAGCCGATCATGGTGTTGAAGCCTCGTGAATGAATCTCTCCCGTTTCGCCTATCTTCACAATCTGCCTCGTTTCTGGGTTGACCAGTTTGATCTCTACAAAGTCGATTGGAGTGCCTGAAATAGTGGTAAAAAAAGTTAGAAAATTCAAAATCTAGAAATCAAAAAGCGTTTACCAATCGTCTCTGTCCTCTTTTCAAAGGAGTAGCTAGTCCTCGAGCCAGTAGACGCTGGTCCTAGCTCGGTTGCGCCGTAACCAATGCGAAAGTCGGTCAAACTGGGAATCGCCTCACAAAACTGCCGGGCCGTTTCCACCGGCATCGACGCCCCACCCGCCAGACAGCTTTTCAGCGAGTTCAGCGTCACGCCCTCTTTCTTAACACTGTTCAGCAGATCAATGACCAGCGTGGGCGTGGCGACAATGTGCGTACAGCGGTTGGCGTTGATCGAGTCGATGATTGCTCGGACGTCGTATTTTAGATAAGGGATGACCAGCTGGAAGGGCGAGGCAGTCATGGCGATAGCGCCGTGAGTGGCGGCAAAGGAGTGAAAGAAAGGCAGCGGACAGCACATGGACAGCTCGGCAGGGTCGGTATTTTGGTAGCTTTTTGCGGCAAGGTAGGCGTTATTTGCCAGGGTGAACTGCGACAGGTACGCCCCCTTGGGTTTTCCGGTTGTCCCGCTGGTAAACATGATAATGGAGGGGTCGTCAGGGGAGACGAGGTTCAGAAGGGAGGAGTCCAGGGAGGCGGTACTTTTTGCCTTTTTCAACTTCTCCAGACTGTGCATTTTAAAGGGGGCGGTGCCGGCGTTTTTAGCCTTGAATTCGCCCTCGCTGTACGGCTCACCGTCGATGGTGATGATGTGTTGGAGGATGAGCGGGTCGGTCACTGACTGGTCCTCCACCTGAAGTGCCTCAGTGAGGATCTTCTCAAAGCGGTTGACCACCTGTTGAGGGGAGCTCTTTCCGGGCATGAAGAGCGCCTTGATGTCGCTCTTGCGGAGGGCGTAGTCGAGCTCGACGGCCTGGTAGAAAGGGTTGATGGTGCAGAGGATGACGCCAAGACGGGCGCAAGCGTACTGAATTGTGATCTAGAAAATTTGTCAAGAAAAGATAGTTAGTTTTGATAACAAAGATAATAAAAACTTTTTTCTATTTACCCAATTGTAGGTATTACAGCCCCACAAACCGACGACGTCCCCTCGCTTCAAACCAAGGTCTTCAGTCATGGCCTTGGCCACTCGGTTGACGTCCTCATTAAACTGCGTAAAAGTCCTCTTGATGTCCTCATGGTGGCTGATGAACATTGGCCGACCCGTTTCCGCGGCAACTCGATCGTCCAGCAGCTGGCCGATGGTCTTGTAGATTAGCTCGTACTGTGATTTGCCGTGCGCGTATGAGTACGGCTTGGCAACGAAGGGTCTAATTAAATTATAGCATCATTAATTAATTTAAATTAAATTAAAGATTGCCCAGGTACTAACAGACTGTCACCCGAAGGGAGCACTCTGGTGCTAGAATGGCGAACCTTTCCGGCGTTGAGAATCGCTTGAAGCAGTTGGCGGCTGCTGCTGATCACTGCTGATTTGTGCTGGGCCGCTGACCGCCGCGCCAGTGTTGACAAAATTGAGCTCATATTTTTTGTGTATTTTGTGGTTTGTAAATGATGTTGATGATGATGATTCTCAAGAGGAGGTAATAAACGAATGAGGACAATTTAATGTTGAGCAAACTGTGCTGTACTGTGCTGTACTGTGCTGCTGTCTGGAAATTGCACCCAAAATGCAACAAATGTGCTTTCTCTCTTCTTCTACCTCACAGGTTTTAACTAAGGAAAGTTTATCTCACCAATGTGAGTATCACAAACAGACAGACAGACAGATACAACAGTTGGAGGTGAAATGGTGTATCGATGGACCACTGATGATGTGCTGTTGCTGCTGCTGGTGATGAGCTGGAGAGTGAAAGTGAGAAGATGCAGCAGCAACAGTGGCAGCCGCCGTCGCCACTGCAACAGACAGTTATTGGTGGTAGCGATGACGTTTGAGGCACTGTTGAAGGAAAACGCACAAAAACTCTCTTGCTTTCTCTGAAAGAGGAAGAAGAGGGAGAGGGAGAGAGGATGCAAGACTGAAATTAACCAAATGGAGAGAATGGGAGAATGAAAGCGTGTCACATAGAGCACACAGAAAGCTATTGAGAGATAAACGACCACCGAAGCTGTCAGTTGTGACTGGCCTGGCGATTTGATGTCATCTTATCAACAGTGGTGGCGATAGACGAAAAAAGTGCTGCACTCATTTTGATACATTTTGTACAGAAAAAACGAGAGCACTGCTAAAACTGATGCTGATGATTGGTCAACAACAAAGTCCCCTCGCACTTTATTTTTTATTTGCTTCACCAACTTAACCGGTTTTCTCCTGCTCAGGCTCAGTCACCTAACATCAACTGTGTAATCTAACTTTCTGTTTGACGGGGTGTGAAACACTGCTGGCTTTCTCCTTTTGCTATCGTACATCAGTGCCTTTTTGTACGACTACAGACGAAACGGGCAGGTTCTTTTCTGTAATTAATTACCATTATTTAGTGCCATTTGATGGCAATAGAAAGGAAACTACTGAATATACACACACACTGTTGATGGTTGCTAAATTGAAGATGATTGTTGCCTTCTCCCGTTTTACTTTATCCATTAGAGAAGATAATCAGCAAATCATAAGCATATCAGTCAGGGTAGACTGTCGCCACGACGGTACGTTTTCCAGGGGACTCGTGTACTCAGCAAC